TGTATTTATTTATTGTATGTATGTACATACTACATATATTTTTCTCTGCACGATTCATTTCGTCTGTTGTTTCGTCTGTAACTACTAAACTACTGTAGTGTACTATCGCCAAAGTGAACTCAGCCGTTTTGTCTTCGTATTGTACCGAACTGTTGAAGTAATAAACGAAGCGAAATAGTAACGTACAATAAAGTTTATTTTCGTACACTGAAAAAGAGACCTACATAAGTGTATAAGTTGAAATTTTATAAGAAATTATTGAACATTAAAAAAATTATACCTACATATACTACGTTTATACGTAAGCTATTTGCAAATACCCAACGCACTGTTTATTCGATGGTGAAAAATTCTTTTTTAATATTGCCTGATTATAAAAAGGCTATATATAATATGACCATTGAAAAAGAAAATAAAGTTAAAAATGGCAACGTCTTGATTATAAAAAGGCAATAAGATGACCATCGAACAAGAAAATAAAGCTAAGAATGGCGGCGTCTTGCGCTATTTGCAAATAGTACCACTGATCAATACTTATTTGCGTGATTTATTTATTTGCAAATAAAAAATTAACTCATCGTTTATACGACAAATTTTACCATTTTGCAAATTGTTATTTGCAAATAATACGTGCGTATAAACGTAGTAATAGATATGTATGCACATATGTGCCTACCTAGTAGATAAAACTGGTCAAAATAGCACGCATCTATTCTTCTGTGCATGAGAATATATACATAAATAAATACATTTACGTCTCCTTTTACGCGGATTTGAATTTATGCGCTTTTTCAAACCATTTTTTCGCAGTAGCGATTTTGCTTTTTTGAGAGTTTTCATTACTTTTTTTCAGTGTGTAATTAATTTGTCTTTGTATTCTTACATAACTCGTGTATTTATTGTGGCTGTTTTTTTTGTTTTTGGTTAAAAATACAGTACAATGATGTGTATAAAGTTAGCGAAACAACATGAAGAAAAAAATGTCGCATATACCTATGAATTTGCCGTTTTTTTGCCGTTAATTAGTTGTGGAAAAAATAATTTTGTCGCTCTTGTATTTTTTTAGATATAATGTGTTT